AGCCCTGGGCCTGGGCTTTAGTTTGCGGTGGCACAGAGGCAGGGGGAAGGGAAAAGTGCATCCTTGTTAGGGACAGACATATTAACATACTTTATCTTCATAGTGATAGGACAGGCTGAGACTCTACATTCTAGTGCCTTGGGCTCCAGGGAGTTGGGATTTGTGCTAGGAACAGGAAGAAAGGAAAAGAGCAAGAAACAGGAATGATGCTAGAAAGGAGAGTCTTCTACAAAACCCTCAGATGGCCCTGGACTCTCATGGTGAGCTCTGTGGCACCCTGCGGATTTACAGTTCCTTCTGGCCCATTATTCCTCATTATCATGACAGGATTAAAGATCAGGGCACGGAGAGGGCAGACATGTGACCTCTCACCCATTGGCATCCCACCTCCCTATCTAGGCTCAATGCCAGGGCCTCAATGTCTATTGGCCCCTCATTGGCCAAGCCTCTTAGGGTGAGTACTTGGGCCACCTTCTGGCCAGCTGGGAGTCTGTTTGGTTAATGGTTACCTTCTCTACCCGTCCCTGTATCTGTACATGGTGAACTGCATTCCAGCAGTTCTCAGGCGTCATACCACACAGCTTTGGTTCTCTTGGTAAGCTCAGTCCACATCTCCATCTAGACAATAGCCTGTTCCTGTGCCTTTCATAAATCAGTCCTTTGAGTTTAGTTTCTGTATCTCTTTAGTTCTTGGACTGTTTCTGCTCCTTGTTTGTTCGGCCTTAGTGTTTGGGTATGTCACAGACACAAGCTTCACAAGCTTCTAACTCTCCCTAGGTGTTGGGGGCTTAGTACTACCTAGGACCAGAAAACTTGGGGTTCTGAGATATTCAGAAATGCCCACACGAGGACCAGTGGCACTGTCCTCCAAATCGGATGAGATCCCCTCTCCTAGACAGCTGTGTGTATGTGAGGGGTGGATTTAACCCAGAGCTGCCCAACTGTCTCCTCAGTCACTTCCAGGAACTCCTGCCTCCATGCTGGGCTTGAAGCATACCCAGCATGGCATCGTAGGGTTAATGTGCTTATTTGGGGTCATTTGTGGGCAGTCCAGCCTGCTAGCCTTTGCTGCTAATGAGGAGAAGCTAGAAACAGATGTTCCTACTTGCATTGTTGGATGCCTTTGGCTCTTCTCCTGCTCTTCATCCAGGGCAGCTCATACACCTGCACTGCCGTCTCATCCCACTTACAGAAATGAAGCTCCTTTCTTGCCTTGGTCTCCTTTTCTTCTACTGCCTGGGAGGGCAGAAACTCTTGGGGCACACCTCAGAAACTAGGATTCACTCTTTAGTCCTCCTTTATAGTTGGCATTGTTGTTTTTAAGTTTAATGTCCTTGTTTTACACATGAGAGACCAGGACTCTGCAGACTTGCCAAAAGGTGACATGGTGACAGAAATGGTACCAGAATCTGTTTGTTAGACTCTCAGTCCATGGGTCTTTCCAGGACTCAATATGACCTCTCTTCTGTGGCTTGTGGGAAGACCCCATTTGAGGCTGAGGCCGTCACAGGCCTCAGGCCGCAGGGACACAGGCTTCCCTTTTCTTCATTTACCCTGTGCTCTGAGTGGTTCTCTGGAGGTCCTTACATGAACCATCTGATTTGTCCACCTAGCTCAGCTGAAAGAACCAGGACCCCAGACATCTTCCCACCAGTGGTTGGCCCAGTGTTTCAAAGCAGAAAGGGAATGATGCTAAAGGTTTTCTGCTCCTATTTCCACTGCTCTGATCCTTCTGATCCCTGAATTAGTGACTAAACCTGGAAAAGCATGCACATACACATACACACATGCATGCATGTACACAAAGCCCATCCTAGCTGGAAGGCACTTAATTCTTGCATCCCTGGATGAGCAGAAAGTGTGGTGTCCGTGAGGTATAGATTCTGGCATTCTGATCCATCATTGCCTGCCTCAGTTTACTCTGACTGTCCTGCTTCAGAACATAGCAACTCCCCTGGTTGGAGTCACTAAGGGATCTACTTCACTAGGAGCTGAGAGAGTAAGTTCAGAGCTCTGGTAATTGCCACCCTCCATCAGCTCCCAGCTGTGTGTTCTGGGGTGTACCACTACCCTCCCTGGGTCTCTGCTTTTGTGAACTTAGGTGCTGGACACCTCAGGCATTCTCAGGGAATCTTTCCAGAACTTACAGCAAGAATTCCTCAACTGTTCTTTTTACTACGGCTCCAGTAAAGAACTGCCTGGAAGGGGGTGGGGGGTGGGGAGGAAACACAACTTTCCAGCCACTCCGCCCAGCTTCCAAGGGCTCTTGCCCTTGACCACGACACACCCTTCCAGGGAGGAGCCCTCAGCTCTGTTCATACTGTTCCCAAGGCACCCTCCTCTTGAGAGGCTCAGGGATGGTGACCCCACTCCCAAGCTTCCCCCACACCCAGGTGGCCCCAACTCACTTACTTCTCATGATTGAACCTAGGCTTGGCAGCTTAGCCGGCCTTGGCTCCCTGTCCTTCTCAGCAGGGTGGTCCAGGAACAGGGAACAGCTGGCAGTGGAGGTGGGGGTGAGGCCCTCTCAGCGGAGCCTCAGCCTGCAGCTCTGCACCTAGCTCTCCCCCAGTGCTTCTGAAAGGGGGAGGGGGGGATAAACTCTGCAACACACAGGTGGCTAAGTGACAGCCCCCCTAGTCCCCCAGGGGTGTAGTGGGTAAGATGACAGGCGCTCCACGTGGCCAATCTGGGCCTGGGGCAGGGTGTGAGGGGTGGAGCAGCCAATCGTAGGGGGCGTTGGAAAATTCCAAAACCACATGCAACAACCACTCGCGGTAAAAGCTGTTTCCACTTGCCAGGGTAGTTCTGGCTGGGGAACCGGAATGGACCTCCTATTCCCCTTTCTCTAAGGATCCCAGCCTGACTCTCTTTGCCAGAGAACTCGGGGGACAGGAATGTCCCAGAGGTAAGTTACAGGATGTCTGCTGAGGGTGGCAGCATCTGCCATTGAAACCCTGTGGACTAACCCAGCCTGTTGTGTCTGAGGTTGTCTACCACCACCCTCATCCCTATGCTCCTCCCTACCAACATGCCATCTACCCTGGGCTAGGGAACATGAAAATTATAGTAGGAGCTGAGGACCAAAGGTGAGCATAATACTAACAGTAGTAACAATTATCAGGCAAATACTCAGAATCGGCAGGAGGGGAGAGTCAGTCCATCAGACATTTCCTTAGGGCAACTTTGCTAAATTGGAATGCAGATAATGACATTTATCACTGTCTAACTCATAATCATAATAATAGTGCTTACTATGTGCCAGAAGTGGTTCTAACATATTATGTGGCTTTAGCTAATCCTCACAAAATATTTTCCAAGGTAGTTTTCCCCTTCCAAAGATGAGAAAAACGAAACAGAGAAGTTAAGTAACTTGCTGAAGGTCACTGACCTAGTGAGTAGTAGAGATAGAATTCAAGCCCAGGCAGATTGGCCTTAGCTCTCCCTCAAAGGACCAGGAGGGTTTCTCTGGTTCAAGTCTGCTTTTGAAGGTGTCTCAGATTCAGATACCTCCTGGCCCGAGTTTCTCAGTAGATTGATATGGGGTTCCAACCGATGGGCCAAATAATTTGGGCAGTGTACCTCAGCCTTGGGGATTCATCTGTGAGAGACCTGAACATCTAGATTCTTTGGGCCAACTCTCCTGAGAAGTCTTTGATCTTGCTAGAACTCCACAAGCAACTCAGGCAGTGTGAGCTTTTCTAAGCAGGCTTTTGAGAGCTGGGCCTGTTGGCCTGGATCCTAATACTAACTCATGAGTTTGGGGGTACCGAATGTTTGCAAGGGCTATTGGGCCTGGGACAGGAGTCAGAGATAGGGTCCTGGCCAACAAGGTTTCTATGGTAAGGGATTGAGAGTAGGAATGGTTTTACCTCTCCCAGTTCCCACTGCTCCAAAAGTCCCCTTCTTCCCCCCAACACTCCCCCCCTCCTCTAGCTCACCTACGTCACTCTCTGACCTGCTTTCCTCATAGGGCCCTGCTCAGCATTTCCGTGAGGCCCTGTGACTATGGGCAGGCAGGCGAGGCTTGTTCAGGATTGTGCTGAGCGAAGCAGCCCCCATCCCCAGGAGGATGTCAAATCCTAGATGGTCCCCAGCCCTGTCTCTGGCTCAAGGAGGAGAAGCTCTATGCTCTCTGAGATGGCTCTGCCTGGAATAGAGAGACTGTCCATGGTTTGAGCAGTTGAAGGGAGGGACTTATGGGAGAAATGGAGGATTCTCATCAGATCAGGAACCCCTGCTAACAGGAAGCCTTTTCCAGCGTGCCCACAGGCTGCTGAGCACATGTGTGGCCCTGCTAGGGATGATGAGTTTTGCTACTGAAATGAAGCATGTGCATCTTCTGGGAAAGTAGTCTAAAGAAGATGCTGACTTGAATGTATCCATTAGAAAGTTCTACCTGAGCTCTAGCTTTCTTCTCACAGACTGTAGTCTTTTACAGCCCCAGGGCAGAGAGTGTCTTTAACTCATTCTGTTTCCTACAGAGCCAAGGCTTTCCTGCTCTTCTGTGTGGCACAGCCAGGCTCCAAGCTTGTTCACACTTCAGGATGTGTTAACCACAGAGATGAACACCAAACCTGGCTCTGCTGCCGCAAAGCTGGGGCCTCTCATTGTGGCATCCCTGAGTTTCTGAGGCTGCTACCCAGCACTACCTCTCCCCCTCCCCCCTTCCCTGGACCGCCAGTCTCCCTCTGGCCTCCCTCTTACTTCCTGTGTGGCTCTGTCCAACTTCTCTGCCTGCTTTTCCTTTGTTCTTTGTTTGTTTCTTGACATCTTTCCCTTATCAGGCTTGCCCTTGGCTGAGGCCCTTCACCTGTCCCAACCTTTCCTCACTCCCTTGAGTTCCCAGGCTTGCCTCCTTTCCAGCCTATCATTTCTGTCTGGCTCTTCTACCTCTGTCCAGCCCTGGGGCTTTCTTTACTTTGGACCTCCCAGAGTCCTTGACGAATTCTCTCTCACCACAGCTCAGCCCCAGTTCTTGGTCCCAAGCCCTTACTCACAAGTGTGGGTCTTCTTTGTAGCCAGCAGCTCTGGAAAGAGAAAAGAGGGGCTCAGTGTCAACTGTGGAAGGCACTCCTCCCAGTTACAGGATTGGTTCCATTCTACTCCATTCCTTCCCAGCAGAGCCTGGCTTCTGAAAGAAAGCTAGGCCACCTTTGCCAGCTCCCATTCTGCTGCCTTCTCTGCCCTTCAGCCATGCTGGCCCTCTTCCAGGTTCTCAAAGTGCCAGGCTCTTGAATGCCTCCAGGACTTCCCCCGTGCCACTCCTTCTGCCTGGAGTGACCTTCTCTTCCCTACCCCTTAATCTACCATCCTCTCATCACCTATCACGTCTCAGATTCTATCCCTTCCTGAGAAGCTGTCCAGGCACTCTCCCCTGAGTTTTTACTGAGGTTTACTCACTCAACACCTTGCACTTAATTTCCTGGCACTCACATATTACCCAACCACCATAAAGTATGCTGTGGTCTGTAAAATGGGTCTGCTCTTCCCTAGGAAGACAGTGCCTATATCTGTCTTGTTCACCTTGCTGTCCTGACAATATCTAGAACACTCCATGGTACCTGGTACATTAGAAGTGCACCATAACTGTTCTGTACCCAGAGCAAAATCTGCATGAAAACAAAACTCTTGGTTGCTGATTGATTCCTGAAAGTATCCGGAAGTTTCAGAGTAGTGGGGCTGGTGGCAAAGCAGAGAGCTTTGAACACAAAAGCCCTCTCTGGCCTCCATCAGCCAGATTTCATTGGCCTGCCATCTGCCCAGGGAAGAATTTGCTTTTCCTGTGCTGCTCTGCTGTGTGATTAGATCTGGATGGAGAGTTGGCAGAAGAGGGCTCAGGTGGGTGGGTGATGTGATAGAGGACCACCTAGGAGGAGCAGCTGCTAAGGGAGGATTAGCCAGAGCATGGCTATGGAAGCATTCCCTCACACAGTTAGAGGTGATGAAGCACCTGGGAAGGGAGCCTCATGGGAAGAAGCTTCCAGACCAGATCTTGATCCATTTCCTATATCCACATAGTGGCAATTCGTAGAGCTTATGTCTAGTCTTTGTCCCAGCCATGCCTGTAACTTCCCTAATCATTGACTCTGGGTTTGTTTGTTTGTTTTTTAACTGTATTTTTTTGTCTTTTTTTATTTTTTCTCTTTCTTCCTTCCTTCCTTCTTTCCTTCCTTTCTTTCTTCCTTCCTTTTTCTTTCTTTCTTTCTTTCTTTTCTGCCAGTCATGGTGTTTGAACTCTGGGCACTGTCCCTCAGCTCTTCAGCTCAAGGCTAGCGCTCTACCACTTGAACCACAGCGCCATTTCTGGCTTTTTTCTGCTTTTGTGGTGCTGAGGAATCAAACCCAGGGCCTCATGCATGCAAGGCAAGCACTCTACCACTGAGCCACCTTTCCAGCCCTGTCTTTTCTTTTTTTGGTACGGGGGATCGAACCCAGGACATTGTACTTGCTAGGCAAGCGCTTTGCCACTGAACTACATCCCAGCCCCCTAATCATTGACTCTGTTCTGTTACTTTTCTCCTCTTCTCTTGTCCAAGCCTACCACACATACCCCCTCTCCAATACCCTCTCTCCAATACCCCTCCCCATCCCCGTCACTGTCCCTCTGTCCAGGGGATGCTCCCCCCACAACTGGGCTGTCATGGTGCCAAGTGGGCCTGGTGATCTGGGATCCCTGGGTCTGCCCAGAGAAGGAATGACACCACCAAGCCCCACCCATCCTGGCCATCCTATCCAGCCCCACCTACCTTCCTTCCTGAGGTGGCACCCTTGTCCCTCCTCTGGCTTTGCACCTCAGAATAGTCCTAAATTTGTATGTGTGGGGGGGGTTGGGGGGGGAGTATGCTTCTTTTGCCCAGAGAGCAAGCTGTTCTTCCACCAGGTGGCCCTGGAGCTTGGTAGCTCTGGCACTTGCTCAGCTCACATATTTCCCTGGGTGCTCACATTGACCAGGCATGGGGTGAGGATGCCTGAGTTAGTCCATTGGTGGGGCCTAGGGCTAATCCAACTCTCGGTCCCTCTCCGTGCTTGGCCCAGTGCCCCACATTCTCTGCAGAAACGAAACCCCATACTTCTGGGCCAACGGGAGGAAAGTGCCAGGCTAGTGGGCATGGGCAACTAATGGGGCGTGGTGGCTGTCCCCCTCCCTCTTTCATAGCAGGATGGGACAGGTTCCTCCACTGGTGAATGAAGCAGCCAGCCTCCCTGTCCCTGTTGTCCAGGGGCCTGGCCAGCTGCTGAGATCAGTAAGGGTGGGGGGACCCTGCCACCCCTCAGAGCACTCACACCTGGGAAGGCCACCCTGTTCTGATTCTTCACTCTTCCAGCTACCCTGATCCTGCTCTCCCCTCCTCCCCCTACCCCAAATTGTCTTTCTTTTTCACTTCTTCCCTTTCTGCCCCCCTCCCCTCCCCATAGGGTTCTTGCCACCTCTCCCTGCCTTTCCTGTTACCCTCTCTTAGTTTCCAGTCCTTTCTCCTGTTTCTTCTTCATTTTCAATCAGGACTTGTCCTATCTTACCTACCTGGGCTCCCCTACCAGTCCATCTCTCCCTTTCTGTGTATTCTTATCTGTCCCCCTCTCTACTTGCCCACTGACTTCCCATCTCTCCCCACCTCTGAGCCTCCTGGCAGTCCCTTCCACCTGCTTACAGAGCTGTGGGGCCTCTTACCCCTTGAGGCTCGGTGGTGTCTCTGTGGGGCCCTGTCCATGGGGCAGCTCCCTTGGTGCCGTCCTTGCTGCCCTGGCTGCCCAGGAGGGCAGGGAGCAGGGCCCAGGGGAGGGAGGGTAGAGGAGGGAGGGAGCACCTGGCTGTCAGCAGGCAGGGAAAAGGAGTGGCTGGCAGAGCTGTCTTGGCACCAGGAGGGAATGTGGGGAGAGACCAAAAAACTAGAGATTAGAGCCTTTGAGTAGAAACAGAACAGATGAAAAGAAGGAACCTAGGGCTGGGAAGGTGGCTCAGTGGTAGAGCGCTTACCTAGCATGCATGAGGCCCTGGATTTGATTCCTCAGCACCACATAAGTAGAAAAAGCCCAAAGGGGTGCTGTGGCTCAAGTGGTAGAGTGCTAGCCTTGAGCTGAAGAGCTGAGGGACAGCGCCCAGGCCCAGAGTTCAGGCCCCACAATCGACAAAAAAAAAAAAAAAGAAAAGAAAAAAGAAAAAGAAAAAAAGAAAGAAAAAGAAGAAAAGAAAAGAAGGGACCTAGCATTTAGCAATCACCTACTATGGACCAGGTCCTTTGCCAGGTCCTCTCTGTAAACCATCATACTGCTTTATGTAATTCCTCATGACATCCACCACAGGAAACAATTATTTTAGATTAATCAGTGAGTCAATCAAGTGGTGCTTAGAGATATTAAGTACGTGCTCCAGAACTTGCACAAAATGATGCACGGTTGAGTTATGATTTGAACCCAGGTCTCTGTGATTTCAGAACCCCACAGTTTCTATCAGACTAAGACAAGTGACAGAAGTAACGGTGAAGGGAGAGCCTGTTTGTTCTGCTTCTTTGGGATGGGGTTAGACTCATCCAGGTGTCTCTTTGGTTCTTTAAGGACACTGTCGGTCCCTGATCCATGCTGCCCTTTCCTGTGGTCTGGATTACACTGGACTGGTTGTGTGGAGACCCCCCAAGTCTGAGCCTGCCCTCATTGAGGCCTGCTCTGGAGTCTGAGGAGCACTGAGGAGCAAAGCTTCTGTGGATCTGAGATGTTGCTATTCTCCTGCCCACCATCGGCCCAGAGTTTGATTAGCTGGGCCTGGCACTCCTAGTTACTCAACAGGCAGCTGGCCAGGGGCCAGGCTTCAGGGAAGGCTCCCTGGCACCTCCTCCCTCTTGCGCTCTCCCAGCTGGTAAACAGCAGAACAGGAGCCAGCCACGACACAGCCTCGTGACTCGCCCACTCCCCCCACCTGATGCACGTGGCACCTGGCGTGGAGAGGGCAGGCAGCTGTCCCTTCTCACCAGCCTCTGCTCTTGCCCCGCCCTGGAACTTCACACTCTGCTACCATCAGCACCTCTGTCCCAGGGTAGCTCCCAGAGTCTCCCAAGAGCTGCAGCTTGAGGGATAAGGACTAGAAAATGAGAAGGACTTTCTAACTCCTGGGGTGGTTGACAGGAAGATGGGGAAGAAGAAAGGAGGGTAGATTTTGAGGTCCCTTCGGCACTGAGAGTCTGAGGGTATGTGTTGGTACCCCATGTCCTTTTTTTTTGATAAACACAGGTCCATGGTACACTCTGCTCAGAACACAATGATAGTCTGTTTCAGGGCTCTACCTTTTGGGCAGCTTTGGATAAAATGCCAAGCTCTGGAAACATCACCCCACCCTGGGATGCGGGGGAAGGGTTGGTAAGTAGAGTAGGCACGAGGTAGCAAGAGAGGAGAGTGCAGGCAGCATAGATCTGTTTTCCTTTTCCCCAGAGAGAAGAGCGCGGTGTCCCTGTCTCTTTCTCTCCTGGTCCGTCTGCCCCTGGCTCTTTGGTTTTTCTGTGCCTCTCCAGGTTGCCCCTCCATCTCCTCTCCTCTTTAGGCTTTTCTTCCCCCATGACACTATCCCTCCCCCAAACTGTAGCCACAGGGTGTGGGGGGAGGGTGGTCATGCAGAATGCAGAATGCTTGTGGATGGGCTGGGCCTCCACATCTCCAGATACCACTTTCAGAGGGCCACTGCCTGCTGCTGTGTGGAGTGGGCAGGAAGTGAGTGGAGGGCTGGGAAGGCAGGGGTCTAGCCTCTAGGCTAGGCTTTCTCTGCTCTAAAATATAGATGGTTTGGGTTCTTTTTCTTCAAGGGAAGAAAGGACTTAGGTTACCCTTTTGGGAAACGGCCTCTCTAGTAAACCTCCCTCCCCATTTGCTGTAATCACAGCCCCTTTCCGGAGGTTATCAGTCCTTTCAAAACTGAGCACTGGTGATTTCCTCCTCAAATACAGTCGTACATTCTTATGCAAGGAAGAGGCTGATAGGGATCAGAGAATCATTTCAACCCCCCTCCCCCCACGTGCCCAGTCCCATTATCAGGCTGGGGAATCTCAAAGTAGGGGGCAAACAGCCTGGAGGGGGGCTGTTGGTGGTGGCTTGACTCTGGGGAGTAGTCACCAACTTTTCTTTCCCTTCCTCCCCACCCCCTAAACCACAGAAACCACTTAAAGCTCAGAACAAGCCTGTCCTTCCAGGGAGGGCCTAGGGGGTAAAGATGGAAAATAGGTTGGGTTCAGAGCCTGTGATGCCACACACAGCTCTAGCCCCATCCATGGCAGGCAATTGCCTGTAAGACATTGCCTCAGTGATAAGGGATTGCCTTTTTTTTTGGGTCTGAGGGGCTCCAGCCCTGAGAAGCCCTCAACTTACCAGAATGACTTCAGGAGGGGAGAGAGTTTCAACCATTGACCAAAGGTCAATGCAGACTCCATAAATAGCTGTAGCCTCTCATCTCCCTGCCTCCAGACCTCCCCTTGTAATCACAAAGGCCACCATAGCCCCAGCCCTGGCCTTGAACTTTGGTGACCCTCTTCAAACCGTTCATCCAAATCAATTCAACTTGAGAGTCACATAGACCTAGAAGCGTTGAAAAGCACTGACAAGCTGGAGCTCTGATTTCTAGAGCCAAAAGGCTTGTAGCGATGTGGTCTGCTGGGCATCAGCTGTGGGCCTTGAGGCCCTTCAAAGCCCTCAGTGACCACATCAGTCAGAAGTGGCAATACCACTGTTCCTGGCTTGCCTCGCTGGAGGCGCTCAGCAGCTTGAGCAGTCTGCACACAGGACAGCTTTTCTTGACTCATATGCCCCTCGGGTATGTGTCTGTGGCTCTTCCAGTGATGGTGTAGCCCCCATCACAAGCCACTGTGGGCTGTGCATGCTGAGAGCACTGCTTCCTACTTTACAGCTTCCCATGAGCCCCTGGGTTGCAGCTGAAGGTACATTGGTAGAGTCTTAGTCAGAAACCTTTCCTGAAGCCAAGGCTGACCCTGGGGCAGTTTACTTAACCTCTCTGATCTCTTCTCTCCTTTGTGAAATAGGAATAATATCTACTTTACTGAGTGGTTGTGATGACAGAGATAAGGGCATGGGTAAAGTATTGGACCTAGCACAAAGTACCACCGTTACAAATAAGTATTTTATTCCCTCTCTTCAATTTTCTGTTCCTCCCTTTCCTTATTTGACCACCACTTTCTATTTCCTTTGTTGTTTCTTTTCCCCTCTATACCCTATCACCAAGTGATAGTGTTCATTTTGCAATTTGTCTGATTTCTGTGTCTGTTTTGATCACTGCTTTATCCAAGGTCTGGCACCTCATAGACCTTCCTAAAAGTTACAAATGAACATTTTATGATCTTTAACATTCATTCCAGATACTTCCAAATCCAGCTATTCACTAAGGATGGTCAGTGGGAGGATTTTAGGGCTGAAGTACAAATTCAATACAGTCAGAGAGATAAAACTAGACCTTCAGGTAGGCTTCAAGAGACCACAATTATGAATTCCAACTTCCAGGGTGTGAGATGATTGGAGAGCTATCCTCGTGGGCAAGGAAGACCCTTTCAGAGCGACCCAACGGAGCTAGAAGCAGGTAGCACCTGGGGAATTTTATAGCCAGTCTCTCCCAGTTCAAGTCCTCTTCACTAGCTTAGCTGAGTCAAGCTCAAGGTCACATTGGATAACAATAGGACTGCACCTCTACGGCAGTTGCTGGAGAGAGCAATTGACTTGACAAATTGTTGGAACATTTCCTTGTATGAGGCTAATCTGGGCAGAGCTCCTGCCACTTATGATCATCTGGTCAATGCTACCACCTGGTGGATATCTGGAGCTAGGTTTCCTAGGCCTAGGGCACAAGTAGTGGGGATCTAATCAGCCTGGGGAGAAGGACATAGGGAACCATCTGAACAGAGGGGTGTTGTGTGCCTGTCCTTAGAGTTTTGAGCTCGGGTTCTATAGTTTTGTTCAGACTCAGAAGGCTTAGCCTTGGAGCAGTGTAAATCTGCGACCATTGGAAGTAAGAAAGGGCCCAAGAGGGAGGAGGAAGCTAGACTGGCCCAGTGCCTTCTCTCCTCCTTCCTTCCCCTGAGTCTAACCTGAGCCAAGAGGAACCAGTTCCCAGGAAGGTGGAGGTAGAGAGAAGAAGGTCATTGCTGACGTAAAGGATATTCAGGTAAGAGGTAAACATAATCTGACCCACATTTACTTCTTTGTCCTTTACCTCCTCCTCCTCCTCCTCTTGGCCAGGTTAGCTTTTGCTGAGAACAACTCTTATACTCTGGTAGCCCTCCTTCTCCATCTCTGGGACATTCTATTTCAGGCTTTGGATATCTAAATGCTGTTCTCTTGTTCTTGGCTCCAGTCTTGCTGTTAGGAAGCATAGGTGTGGAAGACACAAGCAAGAGGGAGACAGGAAGGTTAAAGGACACACACAGGTGTGTTTGTGTGATATCCCCTGACCCACTCCCAAGGTGCAAGGATGTCATTTGTTTTCAGGACAGATGTAGGGGGTAAGAGGGAGAGAGGAAGAAAAGGGCTAATTCCCCCCCCCACCCCCCAAATCCTCCAGGAACCTCCAGGGGAAGGTGGCTTTTGCTGCCTTTTGTTACAGAGCTCTTGCTGGGAGTGACCCAAAGAGCCCTCCGGTTTTTTGAAGATCTAGGGCCCTGCTGGACAGGGGCCTTGGGACCTATCAGCCCAGATCTTCTGGAGTAACAGCCCTTTGCATTGGAGGTCAGGATTCTGTAGGTTTAACATGCTCTTGCAGGATTTCTGATGCTCGGTTATTGTGAAACTCCTCGAAGTTTGAGAACCACGGCTGAAGGTCTGCTCCTGCTCAGATAATCCGAATGAGGAGCATCTTCCGTTTTGTGTACAGCCTGCCTGAAAGTAGCTTGCAAACTCCAGGGCAGTAGGGCACCAACAATGGAACTAGAGACAAACGGACGTTTTATTAACAAAAATAAATACACCCTGGGTAAGAATCACCGCGGACCCAGAGGAAACCTCCAGAGGTGCCCCCAGTCTCCGTTTACAGGCTGAGATGGGCAGGTGCCAGGGAGGACCCTGGGCCTAGACCCCCTCCCAAGGGGGGCAGCAGGGCAATAAGCGGCGTCTCGCACTCCCCCAGCACCACATCCCGGCGCAGCCCTGCGCCCCTGTCCAGCACCTTTGCCCTCAGACTGCGGGCCGCCAGGTCTGGCGGGCGGAGCCCGTCGAAGAAGAAGTCCTCATTGAAGATGGGGTTGGCGCTGCCCTTGACCACGCGGCTGCGCTGGGCCTGCGGTCGGACGCGGGGCTGCAGCCGCAGCACCACGCAGCAGCCGCCGCCGCCGCTCCCGGGCCCGGGCCGAGGCCGGGGCAGATCCTCGGCGCTCACCAGGCGCAGCCGCAGCCGCCCGGGTCCCGCGTGGTAGGCGGCGGAGAGCCGGAGCTGCCCGCCGCGGGGCCCGAGGCGCAGCACGCTCTCCTTGGTGGGCCGCAGCTGGCAGCAGAGGAAGTCCAGGTGGAAGAGGGGCGGCGCGGCGCGGCGCGGCGCGCGGGGGCTCGGGTCCCTGGAGCCGGCCGCCTCTGGGGCCAGGAAGCGCGGCCTGGGCGGCCCCGGGGAACCTAAGGGCGACGGGTCGGGCGACGAGGCGGTGTCGCTGTCGGGGGCCCGGCAGAGGCGCAGGTCCGGGGCGGAGACGTGCAGCCGCGAGTGCGCAGGCGGGAGCCCCGCGGCCAGGCCCAGCGGCGGCGAGTGGAACAGGGACTCGCGCCGGCGCGTGTGCGGGCTCTCGGGCAGGAAGGCCCAGCCTTCGCGGCCCGCCAGGTGCGGCAGAGAGCAGGCGGCCAGGAGGCTGCGCCCTCCCGCGTCGCGCCCGGCCGGGGACGCGGCGCCGCCGGGATCGGGGAGCCGAGGCGGGATGAAGAACTGCGGGATGCGATCCGGGGTGAGGACGTTGGGGCAGGCGCGCGTCGGCGGGGCCGGGGCGCGGCGCCTAGGGAAGAGCCTGGAGGGGGCCCACCGGGCTCCGGGCTCCGCGGTCCCCACCCCGTAGCCAGCTTTTTCCAAGAGCCACATGCAGTGGGGAGGGAGTAAGGAAACCTGGAGATCCGTAGGGCCGAGAGAGTCCAAATCCAGCAGCTCAGTTGGGAGAGGTGGACGGAGCTGGGTTGAGAGAGAAGAGGATCCGGAGGTCAGTGATTTGAGTCAACACTTGACAAATCCAGCACAACCACCTCCCCGCCCTTCTTCCCCAGACTCCTGGGGCGCTAGGTCTCTATTTGAGCAGATAGACGAAAAGAAAGAAAAAAGGGAGAAAAAGGAAGAAGAAAAGAAAGAGAGAACTGGAGCTCGAAGGAAGGAAGGAAGAAAAAGAAGGAAGGAAGGAAGCTGAAGATTGTTGGAGCTCGGGACCAGCCTGACATTTTCAGATTCAAGCCTCAGATTCTCAAGCACACAGACCTTTCCATTGTTATGGAGGATGCCTCGTCCACGTCAAAGTTATAAGGACCCAAGACACCCACTGAACCCCTAGGGTACTGCTAGAGGAACTAGCATAACCACAAGTTCTGTGGTCACAAACGCGGACTCCTAATCCTGCCTGTAGACACTTCCCTGTAAGGACGTTGGTGCCCTGGACCGGCTTTACCTTCTCTCTTTTTCTCCTCGCCCCTCCCCTCCCCTCCCCCTGGCCCATCCTGATGACTTGAGCTTTCTTCCAGGATCTGGTCTGGCCCTCCTCCAGGCCTCCAGGATTCCTCCCCCCCCCCCCCCCCCCAATTGGGAATCTCTGGTCAGTGCCATCCTTAGGTTTTAGCCCCTCCTATCTACCTTGGCTCCTCCCATAAAAGTCGATCCTGACCTTCTCAAGTTGTTCTGGACAAAAGGTGTCTCTCTTCTGCTCCAGGACGCAGGGGACACGCCGGATCTGAGTACATCCAGGGCCAGTCCAAGTAGATGCACCTCTCGGTGGGGAACAGATTCCCACCTTTACTTCTCAAGAAGTCTCTCAGCCCTATGACATCCCGGGTCTGCGGGGCGGGTCCGGGCCGTTGGGTCGCCCCTCCCACGCCCCACTCTTTCTTCCTAGGAAACCACTCCACACAAAGGCTGCATTGATTCTTCTACACCTCCCGAGTAGCTCCTAGCTCCATAAGGCTCCTCGGCTGTGCCTCGAGGTCGCCACAGCTCTGCAGGGGTGGGGGTGGGGGGTGGTGTAGGTCTGATCGTCCTGCAGGGGTGAGGGTGGGGGGACGGTGTTGGTCTGATCATCCGCCTGGGAGTTGGAGCCCCATACCTGAGTGCCGGCCTTAGCTGTGGGCTGCCGATGGGGCCTGGATCTGGCTTCTAGCCTGGAAAACGCGTGAAGAGCTCTAGAGGAGCAGCTTGCTTGCTTGCTTTTTCTTTTTCTTTCTTTCTTTCTTTCTTTCTTTCTTTCTTTCTTTCTTTCTTTCTTTCTTTCTTTCTTTCTTTCTTTCTTTCTTTCTTTCTTTCTTTCTTTCTTTCTTTCTCTCCCTTCCTCCCTCCCTCCCTCCCTGCTTCCCTCCCTTCCTCCCTCCCTCCCTCTCTCTCCCTCTCTTTCTTTCTTTCTTTCTTTCTCCAGCTTGCCACCCCCCCTCCCCCCATTACTTCTGGGAGGAGCTGGCAGGGGCCTCTGTTGCCTGCGTCTGACTTTTTTTCCTGGATAAACAGAGTTCTGTCTCACCCCAGCCTTCTAAACTTCTTCCTTCAGCCAGATCCAGATTTCTAGCAGAACCTGCAAAGCCTAGATCCAGACTGCGTGGGTTAAGGTTAAGGGAGGACTGCAGAGAAGAGGGAGACTGTCATCAGTGGCCAGTGGCCCATTCCTTTGTTGTACTGACTCCAGTCCTCCTCGTGAAACCCAGACAAGTCCCCTGGCCACATGAAATTTATTCTTTAATGGGGAAAGAAAGAAAATAATAAAATTATATTAGCAAAGTCATAGTTTATTAGTTAGACGTAATTGTTGAGGAGAAAAAGTATGAGAGGATGATAGAGAATGAAGGCGTGAGGGCATGCAGTTTAAATACAGTGGGTTAGGGATGGCAACATTTCAGAAATAAAAGGAAGGAGAAAGACTCCAAGGAAAAATGTCTAGGCAGAAGGAATTACCAAGATCCAGGAGATGCCTGGAGTCAAGGATACCAAAGGCCAGATTAAATGTGGGAAGGATGAAGTCAGAGAGGTAACGGAGCCAGGATGAAGCAGCTTGTAACCACTGAAACAATTTAGTCTTCTACTTTCGGTGTGTTAAGGAGAGATATGGCTGGATTCCTATGTCAGAAGGAGTCCATTTAAGCCAGGCACAGATGGCTTATGCCTATAATTCTAGCTATTCAGGAGGCTGAGATCTAAGGATCACGGTTCAAAGCCAGCCTGGGCAGGAAAGTCTGTGAGACTCTTACCTCCAATTAACCACCAGAAAACCAGAAGTGGCTCTCTAGCTCAAGTGGTAGAGTGCTTACCTTGAACTGAAGGGCTCTGGGACAGCGCCCAGGTCCAGAGTTCAAGCCCCACGACTGCCCCCCCCTCCAAAAAAAAAGAGTCCATTTGGTAGCCATGTAGAGAACAGAATGAGGGGGGAATCAGATAGCAGACTAGTGGAATAATCCTGGCCTTGGATGTCTGGGGTATGGATCAGGGTAGTAGTGAGTTTCTGGATATAATCTGAAAGTAGCCACTAGGGTCCCTGAGCGCCCCAGCCTCATCCTGTTAAGACTTGAACTTGAGACCCCTGAGCGACCTCCCCAAGAGACCACGACCAAAGCAAACAGCAAAAGAGTCGTTTATTTGCAAGCTCGAGCCTGGACTCACAATTGTCACTGATGCAGCAGGTCAGAGTTGTGAGCCCTTACCACATGTTCAGTAGGGTTCTTATAGGGTTTCCAGCAAATAGGAGGGGGTTGGTTTGCGGGCTTCTACATAATTGGTCGGCAACTGGTCAGCATTTCACGGGCAAATTTCGGGGTAAGCTCATTGGTTAGGGGCATAATCATTTCCAGTAAGGGTAGGGGCTTTCCAACTTAGTAGTTACAGGATTGGTTAAATCATACATAGCAAGCAGATCATTAGTTGGGATACATAAGACTACCGTAGGAATGCAGGCAACAATATGTTTTTTAACTGTTTATGACCCTATAGCTTATTCCAGGAACTTGACCAACCTGTCCATTTTCTAATAACTGGGGTCATGTTTCTCAACCCTTACCTAACTGGCAGTTGCTAGGGGTATAATTGTAGTTTCGATTGTGGGTTTTCTGAGAACTTTTCCAAAAACTGTTTTTTCCAATAACTGTTTTGTCCCTTAAGTTTAACCTGAGGTCAGTTTTACAGGTAATGATGGTTTGTTTTTAGAATGGAGTTAACTTAGTCCTTCAATCCAAAGAGAAGGGATGCTCAAAGGTTTTTGGCTTGAGTGATGTAAGAATGGTGTTACCATTTTTCTGAAGGGGAAATACCCTTGGTTGTAGATATGCTAAGTTTCAGATGCTCAGTAGACATCTAAGGGGAGATGTCGAATAGGCAGTTGGATATGTGAATCTGGAGCTTAGAGAAGAGGCCCGGACTGGAATTGATAAATGTGGGCACCAAAAGAAATGAAAATAAAGAGTTTAAAGTCATTAAACTTGTTAAAGTGAAGGCAGAAAAGAGAAAATGTCCCAGCACTGAGTCCTGGGTACTCCCATGTACAGAGGCTGAAGAGAGGAAAAAGAACCTGCTGAGCCAGATGCCAAGGAGAGGTGGGGTAAGATGAGGGATAAGTTTGACAAGAGTGGTTTTGGAGGAGAGGTGGAGGTAAATGCCTAATCAGAGTGCAGTCAAGAAAGAATAAGAACAGAGAGAACAAGAGCCAAGATAATGCTTTTGAAGTACTGACTGGAAGGGTAGGGGAGAAGTGGGGCAGAGGCTAGTGGGGAAAGGAGCATCAAGAAAATGTTACATGAAAGAAACGACGGAGGGTTTATGTGCTGATAGGAAAGATTCCATGGAACAGGAAGAACATTTGCTAATGCAGAAGAAAGAAGGGAGAATTGTAGAATAATGTTCTTGAATAGACCAAAAAATGAGTGCCCTGAGTTAAAAAACTAGATGTAGGGTTGTTCACGCCTGATGTGTGGACAGTTTACCCACAGATAATAGAAGAACAGTTGATTAAATGGGGACAGATTACCAAGAGGAGAGATGTGATGGCAAGAACTTGTTATCTTCTGAATGCTTGTAATTTCTTAGCGTAATAGGAAACACGGTTACCAGCTGAGAGTAAGGTGGCATTTGGGGCAGCAGAGTGACGGGAAGGGAAGTGCGGGATGATTGCTGGGCAGTGTGAATGACCCACTTTAGGACGGTGGTCATGATTTTAAAGTGAAACTGGACAGCATGGTTGGGTTTTTCTCTCCAGTTGTGAGCAATGTATAGGAAGAAAATGGCAGAGATTTTTTTTTTTTTTAATTTAGTTAGGATTATGCTCAATCTTTGACAGTTCACTTTTTTCCTTTTTTTTTTTTTGGTGCATGCAAAATGAAGATTGCATTTGAGACTGCACACTAGCTATGGGATTGAAAATTAGCTAGGAACAATTCACACCCTGGCTGTAGTAGTCAGAGTCTAGCCAGAAAATGGCACTTGCTAAGTAGTTCAACAGAGGTGGGAGTTAACAGGAAATTCCTTACAAAGGTATTTGAAGAGCTTAAAAGGCAAACAAGATGATAGGGTGGGAAGTGTCTAGAAAAGGGGTTGTAACTATGGCGATCCAGTTACTGCTTTAGTTGCCTCGCAAAACAAAGAGCAGTGAAGAAATAGCCTTCCTTATCCCTTCTTGGCACATCCTAAACTGTCTCTGGACTTTCCTAAAGTTGATGACAAAGGGGGTCAGAAAAGATAGAAATATTCTGCCATGTAAAGCAGAATAGGAGAAAATATATATTCTGCTATATAAAGTAGAATAGGAGAAATCTTGGAGCAAGTAGATTAATGACTAGCAATGTTGCCTCCCTAGGGACAACAAAGTATCTACACATTGGAAGGAATCCATCCTTGTTTTTGCAGGACAGAAAACAGATCTGGAAAAAAATGATGGCCTACAACAATAGCAGAGTCTAGATTAGGACTCCAATTTTCTGTCTCAGAGAACATTTTTTTTTTCTTGTTCCCTAAGGATTTGAGCAA